GGAAGATGAGAGAGAGAGAAGAGAGAGAGGAGAGAGAGAGAGAGAGAGAGAGAGAGAGAGGCGAGAGAGGGAGGAGAGAGAGAGGGAGAGAGAGAGAGAGGAGAGAAGATGAGGGGACGAGAGAGAGAGAGCGAGAGAAGAGAGAGAGAGAGAGAGAGAGAGAGAGAGAGAGAGAGAGAGAGAGAGAGAGAGAGAGAGAGAGAGGTCTGCTGTGCTTTAGTGTGTTGTCTTTCTGTTTGAGATCTAGGCATCAGGGGCTCTCCCTCATCTTTCCTCATTCCCTTGAGATCCCATGACCTATTTCAGCACACACACACACACGTTTCTAGCCCAGGGAAGTGTAGGAGGGATCATAACCTATGTTTAATGTTTCTCCCGTGCGTGCCGAGTCCTGACAATCAGACTCTGCTGAGTGAGAGGGTAATGCATGAACACATGCCTGCTCCCCATCTCTCTCCTTCTCCTTGCTTCAGCATTATAATGTGGTTATGGGAGTGGGAACACTGTGAGTGTAATGCTGGGCAGTGTAGGCATATGCAGACTGGAATGTACTTACTTTGGGAGCCAGAAACTGGGAAGACTTGTTAACAACCCACTTGGGTAGTGAACCTGGGAGAGAGGGGGGGGGGGGGGGGGGGGGGAGATTTCAATGTTACACCATGGCATGTCATCAAGTGTCAAATCACTCACTGTTAACAGATGTCACACACATTGGCACATGTTCACACCAGAACGGGTGATTTAGAGATAATTAGATGGAGAGATTGTCAGAGCTTTAAGATCTCAACTGAGAGGGATTAATAGAGAGAAAGAGAGAGAGGGAGAACGAGAAAGAGGGAGAACAAGAGAGAGGGAGAACGAGAGAGAGGGAGAACGAGAGAGAGGGAGAACGAGAGAGAGGGAGAACAAGAGAGAGGGAGAACAAGAGAGAGGGAGAAAGAGGGCTATGTGAGAATGCTATTCATTCACTACAGCTCAGCATTCAACACCTTAGCTTAGTGATGAGTTTGAGGGCACTAAGGACCCTAGGACTAAACACCTCCCTCTGCAACTGGATCCTGGACTTCCTGACGGGCCGCCCCCAGGTGGTAAGGGTAGGCAACAACACGTCTGCCACGCTGATCCTCAACACGGGGGCCACTCAGGGGTGCGTGCTCAGTCCCCTCCTGTACTCCCTGTTCACCCATGACTGCATGGCCAGGCATGACTCCAACACCATCATTAAGTTTGCCAACGACACAACAGTGGTAGGCCTTATCACCGACAACGATGACACAGCCTATAGGGAGGTCAGAGACCTGGCTGTGTGGTGCCAGGACAACAACCTCTCCCTCAACGTGACCAAGACAAAGGAGATGATTGTGGACTACAGGAAAAAAGAGGACTGAGCACGCCCCCATTCTCATCGACGGGGCTGTAGTGGAACAGGTTGAGAGTTCCTTGGTGTCCACATCACCAACAAACTGTCATGGTCCAAACACACCAAGACAGTCGTGAAGAGGGCACGACAAAACCTATTCCCCTTCAGGAGACTGAAAATATTTGGCATGGGTCCTCAGATCCTCAAAAAGTTATACAGCAGCACCATCGAGAGCATCCTGACTGGTTGCATCAACGCCTGGTATGGCAACTGCTCGGCCTCCGACCGCAAGCACTACATTTACATTACATTTACGTCATTTAGCAGACGCTCTTATCCAGAGCGACTTACAAATAGGTGCATTCACCTTATAGCCAGTGGGATAACCACTTTATAATGTTTTTTTTTTTTTTTTTTTTTTGGGGGGGGGGGGGGTTGGAGTAAAGGGGGGGGGGTGGGGGTAGAAGGATTACTTTATCCTATCCCAGGTATTCCTTAAAGAGGTGGGGTTTCAAATGTCTCCGGAAGGTGGTGAGTGACTCCGCTGTCCTGGCGTCGTGAGGGAGCTTGTTCCACCATTGGGGTGCCAGAGCAGCGAACAGTTTTGACTGGGCTGAGCGGGAACTATGCTTCCGCAGAGGTAGGGGAGCCAGCAGGCCAGAGGTGGATGAACGCAGTGCCCTCGTTTGGGTGTAGGGACTGATCAGAGCCTGAAGGTACGGAGGTGCCGTTCCCCTCACAGAGGGTAGTGCGTACGACCCAGTACATCACTGGGGCCAAGCTTCCTGCCATCCAGGACCTCTATACCAGGCCATGTCAGAGGAAGGCCCTCAAAATTGTCAAAGACTCCAGCCACCCTAGTTATAGACTGTTCTCTCTGCTACCGCACGGCAAGCGGTACCAGAGCGCCAAGTCTAGGTCCAAAAGGCTTCTTAACAGCTTCTACCCGCAAGCGATAAGACTCCTGAACAGCTAATCATGGCTACCCGGACTATTTGCATTGTCCCCCCACCCCACCCCCTCTTTTATGCTGCTGCATAGCCACTTTAACATATTACCTCAATTACCTCAACTAACCGGTGCCCCTGTACATTGACTCTGTACCGGTACCCCCTATATATAGCCTCCCTACTGTTATTTTACTGCTGCTCTTTAATTTTTTAATTTAATTTTTTTTTCTTAACTGCATTGTTGGTTAAGGGCTTGTAAGTAAGCATTTCACTGTAAAGTCTACACCCGTTGTATTCGGCGCATGTGGCAAATAAAATTTGATTTGATATATTTGACTTGAAAAGAGCTTGCTTTGGCAATGTTTACATACGTTTATCATGCCAATAAAGGCCTTAAATTGAATTGAGAGAGATGAGCGTGACAGACCCTGACCTCCAGATCCATAGTTACTATGGCGATTTCTGTAGAAAGAAGGTCCTGAGTATGAATCATTCATTAACCACCTGGTGGCTGCTGAGAGGAGGACAGCTCATAGTATTGTCTGGAATGGAGTCAACGGAATGGTATCAAACATGTGGTTTCCATGTGGTTGATACCATTCCATTGACTCCATTCCAGGCATTAATATGAGCCGTCCTCCCCTCAGCAGCCTCCACTGACCTGTGTGTGTGTGTGTGTATTACCTTTTGGGTCCACATGTGCAAGATAGGTCAGAGTGCAGTGGTTCAGTCCGTGGCTCTGGATCAGGTAGCCAGTCTGGATGGACACAGCTCGTACCATGTCCTTCTTAGGGGGGTATTTCTACAGGAACAGTGGAACAGCCCTAGTTAGCACAGAACACCCCATCTGAGGAAATGGTCTCAACCACTGACACTTAGTTCAACTGATGTAAATACAATTGACTCGAGATATTTGGGTTTGTGCACTATACAGCTAGAACATGCAAATATCCAAAGCAATTCAATTAAAATGTATTTGAATAAAAAAAAAGTATGAACTGTCCTGCACTTAAACAGAGTTTAAACGTAAAAAAAGATGACATTCACTTATCAGGAGTTTACTGCACAAAGTAATATATATATTGTGGAGGGGTGAAGTGAGAGTATGGATTGTCTCTCTCGCTCCCTCTGTCCTCTCCAGTGGATCTGCAGCTCTGTCAGTTACTGAAGCGGACCATGCATAGCCCAATAACAGTCAACACACACACACACACACACACACACCTCTCACTAAACTCAACGTAGCTATGTTTGTATGTAGTTTTTTTTTTTGTTGAGTGACTTGCAGGTTTGTTGAGCGTTTGCATGTGGAAGCTTACAGCAGCAGCAGCAGTCACATGACATTTCCACTTAGCATTGATCACTCACACACAGCACGAGAGACAGAGAGAGAGAGAGCGAGAAAGAGAGAAACGTGTTGAGTGCTTCCTTCTACACAGGATGTCTCGATCTCACTCTCTTTCTCCACTGGGCAGAAAAACACAACCACAGTATGTGGGCCTGATTCCAAACCAAACCCTTATCCCCTTCCTTTCTGCCCTAGGTGACTAGTCCTGTAAGGTCTGATTGAACAGGAGAAGGGAGAGCAGTATTATAAGGGCTCCAAAAGACTCCAATAGGCTCCAAAAGACTCAAGTCGAGGTTCTACCATCTTGCTTTCAACTTCTCAAAGATCCTGAAGGACAAATCGTGAAGGAGATACATTTTCAGTTTGGCATTGAGCCACTGTACTGTCTGAGTGTTGAGTAATCTAACCCGGAGCTACCACTGCCCTATCCAGCGCACACACACACAGGCTTTATCCAGCGTTAACAGTGGCACGGACCGATAAAGCTTTATTCAAATGCCAGAGGATTATTTAACCTAATACAATCTTACTACAGTGAGCAAATAGTCCACTTAAAACACACATTTAAACACGACACAACTTTTATCAAACTGCACCTACAGTGGGAGAAAAAAGTATTTAGTCAGCCACCAATTGATTTCCTGGATTTTTTTCCCTCATTTTGTCTGTCATAGTTGACGTGTACCTATGATGAAAATTACAGGCCTCTCTCATCTTTTTAAGTGGGAGTACTTGCACAATTGGTGGCTGACTAAATACTTTTTTCCCCCCACTGTACGTACACACACACAACCACTAAAGATACCCCAAGACATGTCCATCTACGGCACGTCCATTTAAATAGAGTGGACTGACGTCAAGGGAGAATATCCTGCAGGTCTGTTCTCTCTCTTCTGTTTCTCCCTGCAGAGCATTGTACAACCAGTTGGTTATCCACTGAGACTTCCAATAGGGCTTCAGGGACATTCGGCCATGTTGCTGACCCTGATCTGGTTTCTTCAGATCTACAAAACACTGAGGGGGTAGGGCAGGGCTATCCAATACTCCAACCCTGTTCCTGGAGACATACTGTCCTGTAGGTTCTCCAACTATAATCTAGGGGCACCTGATTTTAAAAACTTGCTGGTTGATGAGCTGAGTCAGGTTAGTTACAACTGGGTTTGGAGCGAGAACCTATAGGAGGGTAGCTCTCCAGGAACAGGGTTGGAGAGCCCTGGGGAAGACGGTATAGTACCAGGATACTCTCTCCCTGTACATGTTTATACTTACGGCATGTTTGACAGAGTAGTTCATGATGATGTAATCACTGCCCGTGGGCAGCCAGGAGCGCAGCGTGACAACGTCACGGTTCCTCAGCGGCTTGGGACACTTCCCTAGACACAGACGAGGAGGAGCCTCATTAAAATTACACACACAGCGCCAAAAATGTGTGTGTGCGTGCATGGGTGTGTGTATGTGTCGTACAGGAGTAGTAGCCCACGTCGGCGTTAACAGTGAGTTTTCCGATGTCGAAGGTTTCGATGACATTTGCGTCCCATTTCCTCCGGTACTCAATGTCATGGAGAACATCATACATGGTCTCAGCTGGCACGTCCTTACACGCCATCCGACACTGCAGGAGAGACGCATACATTTAATAAGTAGTCAACACACAGTCATACACACACACACTTACCATTAGTTGACCAAACACACGTGTGTGTGTGTGTGTGTGTGTGTGTGTGTGTGTGTGTGTGCGGGGGGGGGGGGGCAGTTTAATAGTAAAACCGTCGGCACAGAATTATGTCAACGTCAGGCTCTTAAAAAGCGAGCGCACACACACCAGAGGTCTCCATGGTTACCTCAGCCAGGGGAAGACTCCACACCACAACAACACAGACAGAAGATCAGGGAGTAGAGGGAGGGGTACTTTTAATTTTATATTTTTTTTACATTTTAGTCATTTAGCAGATGCTCTTATCCAGAGCGACTTACAGGAGCAATTAGGGTTAAGTGCCTTGCTTAAGGGCACATCTACAGATTTTTCACCTAGTCGGCTCGGGGATTAGAACCAGCGACCTTTCGGTTACTGGCACAACGCTCTTACCCACTAAGCTACATGGGGATAGCCCTGACCAAAAGTAGTCCACTATATGGGGAACCTTATCTTTCAACAGCCTTGTGGGTCTAGCAAGCAGATCTATAGTCTAACATGGGTAAATTCTTAAAACTATCTTTCTCAGAGACTCACAGAACCGTGTACAGTAGTAATCTATACAGACTACTTTCTATGGTCATGAGGAACTATGTTATCAATTACTACTGCAGTTTCACTAGTGATTCAGTAACCCAACTTTGAGCTATGGTTCTGTGTTTGGAGGAATGAGCTGTGTGTGTGTGTGTATGTGTGTGTGTGCGTGCTCGTGTGCGTTGGACTAAGGACTTAAAAGTCACAATGGAGCTGAGAGAATAATGGAGTGATTGTGTCCGCAGGGCAGATTGAAACAGGAGAGGAAAAAAGAGAGGGAGGGAGAGAGAGAGAAGACATCACTGTTATTCTATTAAAGTCATTCAGTAACCTCCTCTACTGATGAGGGCAGGAGAGACAGAGAGAGAGAGAGAGAGGTAGAATCTAAAGTCAAATGTCTACTGATGATCTGGTGTTTCTGTCACCAACCAAGGAGGGCTTACAGCAGCACCTAGATCTTCTGCACAGATTCTGTCAGACCTGGGCCCTGACAGTAAATCTCAGTAAGACAAAAATAATGTTGTTCCAAAAAAGGTCCAGTTGCCAGGACAACAAATACAAATTCATCTAGACACTGTTGCCCTAGAGCACACAAAAAACTATACATACCTCTTACCTAACTTCCACAAAGCTGTGAATGATCTGAGAGACAAGGCAAGAAGGTCCTTCTACGGCATCAAAAGGAATATAAAATTCAATATACCAATTAGGATCCGGCAAAAAATACTTATAGAACCCATTGCCCTTTATGGTTGTTAAATTCTACAACCACCTAAAAGGAATCGATTCCCAAACCTTCCATAACAAAGCCATCACCTACAGAGAGATGAACTTGGAGAAGAGTCCCCTAAGCAAGCTGGTCCTGGGGCTCTCTTCACAAACACAAACAGACTCCACAGAGCCCCAGGACAGCAACACAATTAGACCCAACCAAATCATGAGAAAAGAAAAAGATAATTACTTGACATATTGGAAAGAATTGACCAAAAAACAGAGCAAACTAGAATGCTATTTGGCCCTAAACAGAGAGTACACAGTGGCAGAATATCTGACCACTGTGACTGACCCAAATTTAAGGAAAGCTTTGACTATGTACAGACTCAGTGAGCATAGCCTTGCTATTGAGAAAGGCCACCGTAGGCAGACCTGGCTCTCAAGAGAAGACAGGCAATGTGCACACTGCCCACAAAATGAGGTGGAAACTGAGCTGCACTTCCTAACTTCCTGCCAAATGTATGACCATATTAGAGACACATACTTCCCTCAGATTACACAGACCCACAAAGAATTTGAAAGCAAATCTAATTTTCATAAACTCCCATATCCATTGGGTGAAATACCAGTGTGCCATCACAGCAGCAAGATTTGTGACCTGTTGCCACAAGAAAAGGGCAACCAGTGAAGAACAAACACCATTGTAAATACAACCCATATTTATGTTGATTTATTTTCCTTTTTGTACATTAACGATTTGCACATTGTTACAACACTGTATATATACATAATATGACATTTGAAATGTCTTTATTCCTTTTAGACTTTTGTGAGTGTAATGTTTACTGTTCATTTTTTATTGTTTATTTCACTTTTGTTTATTATCCATTTCACTTGCTTTGGCAAAGTTAACATATGTTTCCCATGCCAATAAAGCCCTTTGAATTGAATTGAGACAGAGAGACAGAGAGAGAGAGAGAGAGAGAGAGAGATGGAGACTGGTGTTTGTGTGTGTGTGAACCGTAAACTGAAAAACCCCATGAGTGAGAGATCATTGTTGTCAGTACACGTGTGTATGTATGTGATCATGGTTGACAGAGTCCTGTGGGCCAGACACTGCATGCTCACAGTCACATGATACACGACCTCTAACCTCAAACATGATACACACACCCTCCCCCCTGCATCAGACTGCACTACAGTCAGCTGCAGTGTTTAATCCAACATTCCTCCTTCCTCTCCCCTCTCCCCTCTCTTCTACTCCCCCCCTCTCTCTACTCCCCCCTCCCTCTCTCTACTCCCCCCTCCCTCTCCTACTCCCCCCTCCCTCTCTCTACTCCCCCCTCCCTCTCTCTACTCCCCCCTCCCCTCCCTCTCCCCCCTCTGTCTGGCCTGTCAAAGCTCATCTGTTCTGCTGGACACGGGTAGAGGAATGTGGAAGAGAAGGATGAGAGGGGATGAGTGTGTATCTGTATACCATCAGTGAGTCGTTTCCCTCAGTCCTCCAGGGTGGTGTGTGGACTGGGGTAAGTCCAAACAGTATATGTCAATCTGACAGCTTGTCAAACCACCCACATATGATACACCAACCACCCACATACACACATGAATACAGAAGCACAGCTCTGCTGCCTTTGTGTGTGTGTGTGTGTGTGTGTGTGTGTGTGTCAGTTTAATGATGGGAGGTTAATAGAGAGGCTGATGATATGGCTGACTGATGGTTACTGGCTGATAGATTATTGATGATGCTGATGATATGGCTGACTAATGGTTACTGGCTGATAGATTATTAATGATGCTGATGATATGGCTGACTGATGGTTACTGGCTGATATATTATTGATGATGCTGATGCTGATGATAATTATTCTGCTGATAATATCAATAATAATAATGAGATGGACAAAGATCTCTCCCCAAACCTCCCCCTCCGGGTTTCAACGCCTCTGCACTTCACATGTCACTGTTCTTCACTGCTGTGGGCCGTCTGGGAGAGGACAACACTACAACAGCCTGGATATCACACTCACACACTTTCCGCATGCATCAGCTGGGAGAGCATCCATGCTTTTATTCCAGTCTATAAATAGAAGAACAGGATCGTAGCATCACTGCCTCCTGAGCACACACACACACAACCATACCGAGAGGCACATGTAATGGTTTGGGGGTCTACTCCCCATCTCTCACTCACACACTCACACACACTCACAGACAGAGACAGACAATCATACACACAGTCTCACACCTCTATCCACTATGGACATGAGTACAGAGAGACAAGGCCTCTCCTTAAGCACACATTACACCCTCTGTGGCATCTGGAAAATCAGGCCAACAGACACTTCAGAGACAGACAGATGACAGCTAATATAAAAGCTTTACTGCCTACCTACCAGACCCATTATAGGATGCCTTCTCTATGACCACTACCACACAAGGTGCCAAAACAAAACTGACGGTCATGTCTGTCAAAAATAATGTGTGTGTGTGTGTGTGGGTGGGTCAGTTAATGTACCTGCACTCACAGGTAGCAGAACAGGAATCTCTGTGGGAAACAGAAGACTTCCACCTGCAGCTTCTTACATCACACACACAACTGGTCACACACCTGTCTGAGTTTACAGTGGCCTGCTCCAACAGTGTGACGTCAGAGCTGATTAATCACGTGTACAGTCCACACACATCCTATTTGACCTTCTATTTCCTCTTCCCCCTCCTCCCTTCATCAAACAACTCCATGTGAGAACACCTGTTCGCTGGCTATCCTGCCACAGACCCGGATACATCCACGCTGGCACCTACAGCACACACCTGACCCAGGCCCAATACTTTTACAATCCATCTTTCCTTTCCTGTAAATAACACTTCCTTGCCCTCCTTTGAGTAATATTGTGAAAGGGTTTCAGTTTAGGACATTATGACTTCCTGCTATGGGACAGTGTGACCGAGGTAACCTATATGGTGCCCTCTGCTCCTCACATATTCTATTCAGCTGTGTACCGGCCTACCCTGTCCTCACCTTAATCTTGTGGAGTGACTTCTCCTCATCTCCTCCTATAGTCTGGGTCCACACGGTCATGCCCGTCTTATTGTAGGTTAGACTCCAGCCCTCCTCGCTCCCGCACTCCTCCTTGAAGCTGCTGAATGCCCGGTCATCCGGGATCAACACCGACTCCACCGACATGACCTGTTACCGGGGAGAGCGAGCTCGCTCTTCTGCAGTTCACTGGGAAGAACAACGATGGGACCAAACCGAGGTAGAAAAACTCCCGATGGCGGAGAGACCCGAAGCAGACTGGGACGAACGGGCGCCGGTGAGGAGTGACTAAGCTAAACGACACACACCTCTATCCTCTGAGTGAATTTTTCCTACAATGTAATTTCTTTTATCACACACATTGAAAACGCAACCTGCAAAACCGCTCTTGAGATGATGTGTGTTTAGAAAGGGGAGTTGCGCGGGATCACCGAAACTGTACAAACACTAAGCACGCACAAAAACACCGGTATAAAAAAAAAAATAAAAAAAAAAAATCTGCCGTTTTCATAGAAACTACACAGTCACGTGATTGGAAGCTTTCCGGCGTTTATCTTATAACATTATTGACCCTCTGGCGTGAATCAATTTCAGTACAATATGGTCCGCAGCAGCTATTTCAGGGAGCCATATGTTTTCGCTGTCTCACCGCGACTCGGCTGGAGATGAAAGGCTGACAAGTCGGATGGTTATGATCAATTGTTGCGCGTTTACATTTCAGTTCCTCTGCGTCGCCGTGTGCCCACCTATGGTCCCTCGACGTCGTCGGAGGTTGATGGTGCAGTGTGGAAAATAGAGGAAAGCGTTGGAGACGCACAGAGAATTAATAAAATATTGACAATGTGAAAATATAACCGCCCACTCGGCTACGTACACGCACGCACGTCCCTGTATCAGGAACCAGATATCAGCAGCGCGCCTGGTCCTATAGGCTGACGTGTACTCTACTCCCTACCTCCACACTTTTTTTTTTCCTGTTGTCCGTTTATTTTCTTGCTATTTTTCTATCAATTTCAACAACATAACCATTACTGCGGGAGATAGCTATTGGGAGGATGCCTTTAGGCTACATTAGAAACGTCAAACAAGACCTGTAGCCTACACTCACCTATGGCTGCGAAGCACTCCTGGCAACAGTGGCACTGCTCTAGATTCCCTCTGGGACAGACTCTGACCCAACACAGCTGTACACACACACACACACCTGCCCAAGAACAAAACCATGACTTTGGTTTGATCCAAGTTTATTCCTGTTATCCATCCCTGTTTGATTAAGATGAGAAGAGAAAATAGAGGGCAGGAGCAGGGACCGACCTATTTTGGTGTTGGCATAATATAAAGGGATGGAAGTTAAGATAGCTCGCTAGCCCGAAGCTAGTGCTTTTCAGACTGGGCTAGTAGAAAATGTACTTGTCCAGTGGCCAGTAAAATTGTGCATGGCACGGATTTTGGACCAGAACGTTACCCTGGCTAGTACAAATCACAGTCTACTAGCACGGCTGGCCAGTGGCCAAAATCCTTAGAGGGAAATCCACTCAAATACTATCTTTCAAAAAGGGTTTTGGGCACTGGCCAGCCGGGCTAGTAGACTGTGATTTTTACTAGCCAGGGTAACATTCTGGTCCAAAATCTGTGCCATGCACAATTTCACTGGCCACCGGGCAAGTTTGGTAACTTTTCTACTAGCCCAGTCTGAAAAGTACTAGCTTCGGGCTAGCTTAACTTCCATTAACAGGCTAGTTTAACTTCCATTAACAGGCTAGCTTAACTTCCATTAACAGATTAGCTTAAATTCCATTAACAGGCTAGCTTAACTTCCATTCACGGTCTAGTTTAACTAACTTAACTTGCTGTATATTATATCTATATAGATATCTACAGTAGATATATAGCATATCTATATTGCCTGGAGTAAGTGAACTCGGCAGTCGTGCAAGTGGAGCCTGCTGAGCTGCAAAGAATTCCAGTAAGTCTAAAACTGCTCTTTCTGGTTCGTCCCCATTGTTTAAGTGAAAAAGAGACAATTTATGGCATTTTTTTGCAGTCGGGCAAGTTGAGCCTGCTCTGAGAATTTTGTAACAACCAAAATACAAAGAATTCCTGTACTGATCTTTCTGATTCCCCCCTCATGTGTACATTCTTAGAAACAACGATTCCAAAAGGGTTCTTCGGGCTGTCCCCATAGGATAACCCCCTTTTGATTCCACGTAGAACCCTTTTTGGTTCCAGGTAGAACTCTTTTTGGTTCCAGGTAGAACTCTTATGGATTCCATGTAGGATATAACCATTTTTTCTAAGATTGTAGCTGAAAGGCAGACACTATATGGCACTTCTGCATGTAAATAGTTGATTTACATTTGCGCCTGCATTCTCAGAGCAAGCTCAACTTGCCCGACTGCAAAAAAATGCCATAAATGATGATACTCTTTGGGCAACCCCAAAATAGTCCTGACTGCCTTTAAGACATTAAATGTCAATCCCTGACAAGAAATAAACATCTCCATTGGGATGATATGCCATCTGTCTCTGATACTGTATGTCTGAATAAGTCCCTTATTCTGGAGTCTGATATATCAGGCCTGGGTAGGCTACAGTTTTAAAGACTGTATATTTATTAGTCTGGGAACAGAACAGAGTTCAATTCAGAAGTGGAGAGGCATTAAGGTAATAGTGACATGTTTCCTCTTGGCTTTGAGTTATGGTTCTGTGTTTGGAGGTGTGTGTGTGTGTGTGTGTGTGTGTGTGTGTGCGTGTGTGTGTGTGTGTGTGTGTGTGTGTTGGATGAATGCCACAGGTACTTTCTCTCCCCAGGTGGAGGAAATGTCTAAACTTTTTAAACTCTGAAAAGGAAAACAATTTCCCTCTCTTGGAATTGCCATGTTCTCTCATCCACACTCGGTAGTGACTCTCTCAGGTATTTATCCTGAGGCAAGCACACAGAGCAAACTATATATGTTTAAACATATTTCAAACATTGGCCAGAACAGCCCCATAGCCTTTGTCAATACTTTCTCAAGAGACCAGCAAATTAACGTTGCTCTCTGCATGTGATTTCTCCTTTAAGAATTAGGCTATAGGGCCGCTGCCACATTAACATTGTTTGGGATTACTGCAAACAGCATCTTCTTTGGAATTTTGGATTTCACAGCAAGACTGTTTTTAGACTCTCAGGTGAGGTCATGTGGTCAAATAGGTGTATAGAGTAGCATAGCATATGTCTCTGTGCTGCCATAGTGAATGGACTGGGGAGAACAGGAGCTATTCTGCAAAATACAAAAGGCAAATAAATATATTTTACAGGGTGATCAACTGTGAAGGGTCTTGTGACATGTAGCCGGCCTGTAAAGTTACATTTTAATGTTGTATGTGATGAAAAGGTTGACTCTGGGTTATAGATGTCTCCACCTTTGGCCTACAGTACAGAATAACAAAGATGTTGTTTTCCTATTGAATGTACATTTCCTAAACTCCCACATTGTGTCTAACTGGTGGCCAGCCTTCTTCTTCTTCTTCTTCTTCTTCTTCTGTGTATTTTATATGGCGGTTGCAACCAACTTTAAGGTGCATCACTGCCACCAACTGGTGGACTGGAGTGTGGACCAGAGACAGGGAAGGTCTAAATCCTACCCAATATTCTCGTCTCCCTAAGGAAACGAAATACAAAATTAAATGCTACATCCCCTGAAGATTTCCCCAGCAGTTCACTCAATTTTGGCTAGCACCAGCCTCTGTAGGCTATTCGTGCTTGTATTAGGCCTAGTGACTGCTGACTGCTGCGACACAACTCGTGTTTGTTGCGTTATCCAGCCTCCGCAGTGCCACAGAATCTGGACGCCATCTGGTGGCGAATCATATCCAAAGATAAAGTTGTTTTGTTTGTTATAAATCAGAATAAACTGACATTTTTTCATGTGGGGATTGATTTAGATGAACTTGTGTGTGGAACATTTTAAGACTATGAATAAATCACGAGTTAACCTTTATAAGAGGTGCTGGAGTAGCCTCTGCGATACCAGGAAGTGGAGCCAGTTAGTTTCTGTAGGAAAAAACTATTATTCCCATGATGCAGTTCATGTTCCAGTGACATCCCATGCTGCGGTTGTTTTTGTTCTGACGATGCTGTCAACCATCACCGGATAAATAACGGTCTGAAGGCGGAATAGCGGCAGTAGACTTCAATTAAAGGTGTTGTCGTTGCTAGTAAGGACTATCATCAGGCTGAACGTTTCACGGTTCGCGTGTTTTTCCGACATGTTGTCTTCGGTTCCGCAGCGGATCTTCATGCGAAGGTCGCGCAGCCTTTCCCCATGCCGTGTGCTCCAGACAAGCACCAAGAACGCCGCGAGGAACCACATCATCCTCGAGAAAGCGGACGCCAACCGGAACCCCATCGTTTCTTCCTCCCGTGTCTCCCGTAGAGGAATTCTGAGCGAGGAGGCGAAAGCCCCGAGTGTGAGCCCGGCCGTGCAGTATCACCATCTGGCCCCCAGGTGGCTCTCTAACCTCCAGGGTCGCAGGAGCTCCTGGGCCTCTCTGGCTTCCAGGGGACGCAACAACAACCAGTACTGGGAGCAGAGCGGGGGGAGGACCGGGGGAGAGAGCGGGAGCAGCCGCCCGTACGCACTGGCCTCTGCTGGGGTACTGTCCGCTGCAGCCGTGGCCTTCTGTCTCAAGAAAGACTCTGATACGAAAGGTGAGCCAACGTGTGTGTGTGCGTGTGTGTGTGTGCGTGCGCACTCTATCTGCTAAAGATACTAAAAGGATGTGAGTTTTCCCTCCAGGTGATGCACTTCTGGAGGCTGCAAGGACCAACAACTCTCAAGATGTGGCAAGGTACATTATAAGCAAACACACACACACACACACACAATCACACACACACTCTCCTGAGTTCCACACAATACACATACTGACTGTCTGTACAGGGGAAATCCTTTTACATTTAGACAAAAGGCTTCTATGTGACAGAGAAGTCCAGAGCCTCTGATTGCCTTGCTGTTGTGTTCTCTCTGTAACACTAAGTACCCAGTAGAAATACACACATGTTGGGCAGGCACCAAACATTACAAGTTATGATTAGTGTAATTACTGCTAGTCTCCTGTAATAGATTCAATCACACATTTTAATTGTTTACTTACTTCTCTACACTACTATACTGCTGTAGGAAATGAAAAAAATGAATTACTCCACCAAAGTCTGTGAGGTCCAAATCATATGGAGTCTCATCATATACAGACAGTAGTTCTGGAAGTGTCCACTTATACAACAGCACATGATTGTATTCCCAGTTCTCCCCACGAGAGGGAGATAGATGTCCATGTCTGTTTAGTTTAGTTTATTAGTTTCCCTACATTTGTATTTAATAAAATACGTTTTATATTGGAAAGACACCAAGAGACAACAAAAATACTATTTACACACAATTTATACATATTCATATTCTTATATATGGTTCAATTAGATATTTAGAAAGAGGCGCTGTGATACAATATGTTTTTTAAATTGCTTTTTGCCTGAGTTACATCTGTTGGCACAGCATTCCACGATGAGATGGCTCTATACATAACTGAGCGATGAGATGGCTCTACACATAACTGAGCGATGAGATGGCTCTACACATAACTGAGCGGCGAGATGGCTCTACACATAACTGAGCGACGAGATGGCTCTACACATAACTGAGCGACGAGATGGCTCTACACATAACTGAGCGACGAGATGGCTCTACACATAACTGAGCGACGAGATGGCTCTACACATAACTGAGCGACGAGATGGCTCTACACATAACTGAGCGACGAGATGGCTCTACACATAACTGAGCGACGAGATGGCTCTACACATAACTGAGCGACGAGATGGCTCTACACATAACTGAGCGACGAGATGGCTCTATACATAACTGAGCGATGCATTAAATCTGTTTTTGGTTTGGGTACAGTGAAGAAACCCATAGGGGTGTGTCTGGTGGGGTATGTATGTCTGTATGTCTGTTTGAAGTGTATGCAAATATATTCTACAAGTGGTTAGGCATTTTCAACACACAAATGTTTCTTAATTAAAAAGACTAGAAGAGAAGTAGTCAATTTCTCTTCATCCCTCAACCATGAAAGATTATCATGCGTGTTGTTGATGTTAGTTCTATGTGTGCAGCTAAGGGCAAGGCGTGCTGCTTTTTTTTTTGAGCCAGCTGCAGCTTTGCTAGGTCTTTCTTTGCTGCACCTGACCATTTTACGGGACGGTAATCAAGACGGGACAAGATCAGAGCCTGAACAACTAGCACAGTATTTTTATAACAGACACACACCTCCCCGTCTTCACAACAACTTTGTCAATATGACTTGACCATGATAACTGACCATCGCAATGTTACTCCTGGGAGTTCAACTTGTTCAATGGTCACAGCCTTTATGCACAACTCCAGTTGAGGTTTAGGTCTAAGAGAATGCTTTGAACCGAATGCAATGCTTTTGGTTGTATTTAAGACCAGTTTATTGTTAATGACCCATTCTGACACTGACTGGAACTCCTTGCTAAGAGTCTCAGTGAGCTCACTGTCTGTAGGTGCTGATGTTTAGAGTGTGCAGTCATCAGCATACATAGTCATTTTAGCTGCTTGTAAGACCAGTGGCAAATCATTAGTAAAAACAGAGAAGAGTAATGGCCCAAGGCAACTGGCCCTGAGGGGACACCACACTGACATAAATGATGTTAGAGAAGCTCCATTGTAAGAAACACTCTCTGGGTTCTATTGGATAAGAAACTCTCCAACATGTGATGGCAAGGTGATGGAAGCCATAAAAAGTGAGTTTTCAATAACCAAAATTATGTCAGTAAATCAAAGGCTGCACTGAATTAACAAAAAGCTCAACTATTAATTCTTAGACAAGTATTTTAGCAAGTCATCAGTAATCTGAGCAATGAAGTACAAGCCCCCATTTATGCATGCAGATAAGTCGTACGTTTATCCATGTATTTTAGCCAGTCATCAGTCATCTGAGTCAATGCAGTACAGCCCTCCCCTTTTATGCATGCAGAAAGTCAGTAGTTAACTTGTTCTTTTTTTTTTTTTTTTTTTTTTCCGGGGGGAATGGATCAGCTTAATATTGCAGATAGATTGTATCTTCTATCAATGTAATTGTCTGCATCACTTCCAATCCCCCATGTTTTTTTTATATTTTTTATATATATATTCCCCTTTATTACTTTTCAAACCCCACCATCCTTTCCCTACTTGGAGTAAATTAGTGAACAACAATGCCCAGGCCTCTACTTCCGGTCTATACTTACTATCTACACCTTATGGACAGAGTTAATTTTACAATAATTCTATTATATATATATATTATTATTATTTATTTTTATTTTTATATATATATTTTTTTTTTTGCTCCTGAACTTCTTCTACTCTCAACCTCTCCGATCATTTTCATGATGTCCATCCGGTTTGCTTCTAAATGCCATATCTTTCTAACTGTGCTCTTTCCCAAAAGCTCCCAACATACAACCTATATACTTATTATGGACACAGTATGCTTACATTATTAGCTATCTTTGTTATTATTTGTTGTTATTTGTTATTAGTCCCATCCTTCAACTCTATTCAATACCTCCCATCTATCTCTTAACACCATCCATATAGGATTTCTATTTGCCATATATATTTCAACCGTACTGTGATGTTTTACAAAAGTTCTGAACCTTTCTATTCTCATTGCTTCTACAGATTGTGAATTAAAAATAAACATTTTTGCTAAAAGTATTATTATATTATTGATTGATTGACTATGACTTTTCAGATCACCCAGTAATGCTATCTGCAAGGTTAGTTCCAGGTAAATATTGCAATCCTTTAGCCATTCCTGGACCTGTGTCCAAAAACAAGCTACAAATGGACAGAACCAAAACAAATGATCTAATGATTCTGTCTCTTCACAGCAAAATCTGCAGAGCTGGGAAGATTGTATCCCCCATATAAATAACATTCTATTGGTAGCAAGAATTTTATATAATAATTTAAATTGAAAGATTCTAATTTTTGAATCCGGTGTCGTTTTGCGTGTCAGTTCATAAACACTATGCCATGGGATCGGTACGTCAAAGATCTCTTCCCAACTATTTTGCAATCTATATGGGACGGCTGTCAATCCTTTGGTCCTTAAGTGAAACTGATATACTTTTTTATTTATCACAGTTTTCCTTAACCAATTATGTTCTTTAATGCAAGGCCGACAGACAAGTTCCTTACTTTCTCCCCCTTCAACTTTCCTCTTCCACTTTTGCGGTAAGGCTGCAATTATTTGGTTGTAATTTTGGGTAGAGCAGACATTTCCATATGTTTTTGTTAGCTGCATGTGCGACATAACTCCACCAGTCCTACCGATGATATCATTTACGAAGATTATACCTTTTTTAAACATTCTGTCAAAAAATAAAGGTTTTTTGTCAATTAGTATATTTGAATTTAACCACAATATTTGTTGCATTATTTGTTCTGTCGTTTCTGGAGGATTAAATTGAAATTGCAACCAACTTTCTATGGCTTGTTTTAGAAATAGTGACATTTGGGAGATTATTTCCTTTTCAAATAACTGAAAGTGAGAGGTTGTAATCTGAATAAAGGGAAAAAGGCCTTTCTTGAACAGTTAACTTGTTCTTTGAAAAATAGCATATTTATTCAAACACAATTTTCTCCATTTTACTAAGAACAGGCAGGAAACTGATTGGTTGGCTGTTAGAGCCAGCAAAGGGTGCTTTACTATTTTTAGGTCATGGAATTACTTTAGCTTCCTTCCACGCCTGTGGACACACTCCTTTAGGCTTTGGTTAAATACATGGCAAATATGGGTAGCAATACAGTCTGCTACCATTCTCAATAGTTTTCCATCTAGGTTGTCTATACCTGGTGGCTTATCATTATTGATGGATAACAATCATTTTTCTACCTTTTCCACGCAAACTTCACCAAATTCAAAACGGCAATCCTTCTTTCATTATTAGATCTTCAATACACAAATATGATGGTTCACTGTTCAATGTTGTAATTTCACTTCTGTTTGTCCACTTTACCAGTGAAATAGTAATTGAAATGATTGGCTATATCAAAAGGTTTTGTTATAAATGACCCGTCAACTTCAATGAACGATGGAGATTAATTGGGTTTTCTGCCCGTAATATAATTGAAGGTGCTCCAAAGTATTTTTCCATCGTAAAAAAAAAAAAAAAAGTCATTTATCTTGTTTTGGTGATATCATTTCTTCATTTTTTTGTTAACTTTAGTCACAAAGTTGTTGTGTGGCAGGCAGCAGGTGAGAGGTAAAGGGCAGTCAGACCGCATCACAGAGATCTAGGCCTACTCACAGACACAACCCTCTTTCGTGCGCACTCGCTTTCAATCTCTCTCTCTCTCTCATTTTATTCTCTCTGTCTCTCTCTCTCTCTCTCTCTCTCTCCAATTTGTGTCTCAGGACAGGCTCAGGATAAGCTGAAAGTCAAACAACCCCCCCCCCCCCCCCTCCCCTCTAGCGCTCCCCAACCCAGTCACCCAGAACCATGGGCAGGAGGGCCTGGGGGGGGGGGCACAGTATGGTAGCAGAATACAGGAGGAGGGCATCTCCATCTGTCCTAGTGATAAAGTGTGTGAAACAATGGTAATATCATTTTTGGGTAGAAATGTGAAAAGGGCACCTGCCATGTTATTGTAGCAGCAGTATCTTGTCTGGACCCTTATCTTACGCGCGTAAGTGTGTGTAGGTTTAATCATGTGTGTCACTCTGTGCTACAGGGGTGTGGCAGATGGTGTAGGCTAGGTGACACTGCACAGATGTGTTAAGTGTTTTAGTTAGAGAGCAGCGGTATATGGGATAGTGTGTGTGGGGGGGGCAGGTTAGAGTGAGGCACGGTGTGTTTACAGTCAACACAGACACCGTCCCCCCCCCCCCCCCCCGACACACACACTAACACACCCCTCCCTCTCAGATAACACAGCCCGATGTCGTCCCCCCAGGCACAGAACTCAACCTACACACACACACACACACATCTTACATTGGTCCTGTCGGAGTCTGTTGGTATGAGGGCTGAAGTTAAAGCAGATAGTAACCCTAGCAATAGAACAGCTGTCTTAACCTCTTCTTGTCCTGTTTCCTGTCAGGTTGCTGGGCGAGGGGGTGGAGCCTAACCACCGGCACCGTCTGGGCTGGACCTCTCTCATGGTGGCAGCTATGAACCGCCAGCACAGGTCAGAGAGACAGCAGTGTGTGTTTGTCAGGCTCTTCCTGTGTTAACCCTGTCCCATACAGACATATTGCCACAGTAGAAATGCAGAATGCCCCTGTCACACCAGACGGCCACTAATGCCCCCTCAACCCTCCCTCCCCCTGGCCTGCACCCCCTAAATTAAATTAGCCCCTCTGTATCCCTGTACACACAGAGAGGGGCAGAGGCTCAGGGGGTAGAGGGTTAAGGTGGGGTGAATCCAATTTGGGGATGGTTGGCCAATGGGCCATGTCCCTGTGAGACGAAGGGTCCTCCTCAACAGTTACAGACACCAGTTCACTGAACCCCCCCGCCAGTCTCTGAATACACACACACACCAGAAACGCGCACACACACACACACACTAGAAAGAAGCCTAAAGTATTCACACCCCTTGACTTTTTCCACATTTGTTGTGTTACAGCCTGAATTTAAAATTGATTAAATTGAGATTATGTTTTTAGAAAATGTTACAAATTAATTACAAATGAAAAGCTGAAATGTCTTGAGGCAATAAGTATTCAACCTCTTTGTTATGGCAAGCCTAAAAAAGTTCAGGAGTAAAAATGTGCTTAACAAGTCACATAATAAGTTGCATGCACTCACTCTGTGTGCGATAATGGTGTTTAACATGATTTTTTTATTGACTACCTCGTCTCTGTATAATTATCTGTAAGGTCCATCAGTCGAGCAGTGAATTTCAAACACAGATTCAACCACAAAGACCAGGGAAGTTTTCCAATGTCTCGCAAATAAGGGCAACTATTGGTAGATGGGTAAAAATTTAAAAAGCAGACATTGAATATCCTTTTCAGCATGGTGAAGTTAATTACACTTGGTGTATCAATACACCCAGTCACTACAAAGATACAGGCGTCCTTCCTAACTCCGTTACTGGAGAGGAAGGAAACCGCTCAGGGACCATGAGGCCAACGGTGACTTTTAAACAGTTAGAGTTTAATGGCTGTGATAGAAGAGAACTGAGGCTGGATCAACAACATTGTAGTTACTCCACAATACTAACCTAATTGACAGAGTGAAAAGAAGGAAGACTGTACAGAATACAAATATTCTCAGAGGCGACCCGAAACATATCCCAGTCCACGTGATCAAAACAATCTTGAAGCATGGATTCCGATTGGTCAGACCAGCGATGAATACAGTGGCTTGCGAAAGTATTCACCCCCCTTGGCATTTTTCCTATTTTGTATCATTTGTTTTACACAACATGCCTACCACTTTGAAGATGCAAAATATTTGTTATTGTGAAACAAACAAGAAATAAAACAAAAAAACAGAACTTGAGCGTGCATAACTATTCACCCCCCCCAAAGTCAATACTTTGTAGAGCCACCTTTTGCAGCAATTAGCTGCAAGCCTCTTGGGGTATGTCTCTATAAGCTTGGCACTTCTAGCCACTGGGATCTTTGCCCAATCCTCAAGGCAAAACTGCTCCAGCTCCTTCAAGTTGGATGGGTTCCGCTGGTGTACAGCAATCTTTAAGTCATACCACAGATTCTCAATTGGATTGAGGTCTGGGCTTTGACTAGGCCATTCCAAGACATTTAAATGTTTCCCGTTAAACCACTCAAGTGTTGTTTTAGCAGTGGTGATGAGAGGTGTTGGGTTTGCGCCAGATATAGCATTTTCCTTGATGGCCAAAAAGCTCAATTTTAGTCTCATCTGACCAGAGTACCTTCTTCCATATGTTTGGGGAGTCTCCCACATGCCTTTTGGCGAACACCAAACGTGTTTGCTTATTTTCTGGCCACTCTTCCGTAAAGCCCAGCTCTGTGGAGTGTACGGCTTAAAGTGGTCCTATGGACAGACATTCCAATCTCCGCTGTGGAGCTTTGCAGCTCCTTCAGGGTTATCTTTGGTCTCTTTGTTGCCTCTCTGATTAATGCCCTCCTTGCCTGGTCTGTGAGTTTTGGTGGGCGGCCCTCTCTTGGCATGTTTGTTGTGGTGCCATATTCTTTCCATTTTTTAAATAATGGATTTAATGGTGCTCCGTGGGATGTTCAAAGTTTCGGATATTTTTTTTTATAACCCAACCCTGATCTGTACTTCTCCACAACTTGGTCCCTGACCTGTTTGGAGAGCTCCTTTGTCTTCATGGTGCCGCTTGCTTGGTGGTGCCCCTTGCTTAGTGGTGTTGCAGACTCTGGGGCCTTTCAGAACAGGTGTGTGTATATATACTGAGATCATGTGACAGATCATGTGACATTTAGATTGCACACTGGTGGACTTTTAACTAATTATGTGACTTCTGAAGGTAATTGGTTGCACTAGATCTTATTTAGGGGCTTCATAGCAAAGGGGGCGAATACATATGCACGCACCACTTTTCCGTTATTAATTTTTTAGAATTTCTTGAAACAAGTAATTTTTTTCATTTCGCTTCACCAATTTTGACTATTTTGTGTAAGTCCATTACATGAAATCCAAATAAAAATCCATTTAAATTACAGATTGTAATGCAACAAAATAGGAAAAACGCCAAGAGGGATGAATACTTTTGCAAGGCACTGAAGTCCTTAGCACGGGTACTTCCTGTTTGAGTTTCTGCCTATAGGATGGGAGGAGCAAAATAAAATAAAACTTTGTCACATGCGCCAAATCAAATGGGGGGGGTGTCAATGTAAATAATTGATTAATTGTTCAGCAGTCTTATGGCTTGGAGATAGACGCTGTTAAGGAGGCTTTTGGTCCTAGACTTGGCACTCCGGTACCGCTTGCCGTGCGGTAGCAGAGAGAACAGTCTATGACTTGGGTGACTGGAGTCTTCGACAATATTTTGGGCTTTCCTCTGACACCGCCTAGTATATAGGTCCTGGATGGCAGGAAGCTTGGCCCCAGTTATGTACTGGGTCATACGCACTACCCTCTGTAGCGCCTTACGGTCAGATGCCGAGCAGTTGCCATACCAGGCGGTGATGCAACCGGTCAGGATGCTCTCGATGGTGCGGCTGTAGAACCTTTTGAGGATCTGGGGACCCATGTCAAACCATTTCAGTCTCCTGAGGGGGAAAAGGTGTAGTTGTGCCCTCTTCACGACTGTCTTGGTGTGTTTGGACCATGATAGTTCGTTGGTGATGTGGACACCAAGGAATTTGAAACTCTCAACCCGCTCCACTACAGCCCCGTCAATGTTAATGGGGGCCTGTTCGGCCCGCCTTTTCCTGTAGTCCACGATCAGCTCCTTTGTCTTGCTCACATTGATGGAGAGGTTGTTGTCCTGGCACCACACTGCCAGGTCTCTGACTTCCTCCCTATAGGCGGTCTCATCGTTGTCGGTGATCAGGCCTACCACTGTTGTGTCATCAGCAAACTTAATGATGGTGTTGGAGTCGTGTTTGGCCACACAGTCGTAGGTGAACAGGGAGTACAGGAGGGGACTGAGCACACACCCCTGAGGTGCCCCAGTGTTGAGGATCGGCGTGGTAGACGTGTTGTTGCCTACCCTTACCACCTGGGGGCGGCCCGTCAAGAATTCCAGGATCCAGTTGCAGAGGGAGGTGTTTAGTCCGAAGGTCCTTAGCTTAGTGATGAGCTTTGTGGGCACTATGGTGTTGAACGCTGAGCTGTAGTCAATGAACAGCATTCTCACATACAGTGGGGAAAAAATGTATTTAGTCAGCCACCAATTGTGCAAGTTCTCCCACTTAAAAAGATGAGAGAGAAAAATAAATCCAGAAAATCACATTGTAGGATTTTTAATGAATTTATTTGCAAATTATGGTGGAAAATATGTATTTGGTCACCTACAAACAATCAAGATTTCTGGCTCTCACAGACCTGTAACTTCTTCTTTAAGAGGCTCCTCTGTCCTCCACTCGTTACCTGTATTAATGGCACCTGTTTGAACTTGTTATCAGTATAAAAGACACCTGTCCACAACCTGAAAGTATTGAGAAACTTTTGTTATTGACCAAATACTTATTTTCCACCATAATTTGCAAATAAATTCATTAAAAATCCTACAATGTCTGTCATAGTTGACGTGTACCTATGATGAAAATTACAGGCCTCTCTCATCTTTTTAAGTGGGAGAACTTGCACAATTGGTGGCTGACTAAATACTTTTTTTCCCCACTGTAGGTGCTCCTTTTGTCCAGGTGGGAAAGGGCAGTGTGGAGTGCGATTGAGATTGCGTCATCTGTGGATCTTTTGGGGCAGTATGCGAATTGGAGTGGGTCTAGAGTATCCGGGATGATGCTGTTGATGTGAGCCATGACCAGCCTTTCAAAGCACTTCATGGCTACCAACGTGAGTACACGTCCTGGTAATCCGTCTGGCCCCGCGGCTTTGTGAATGTTGACCTGTTTTAATGGTCTTGCTCACATCGGCTACCGAGAGCGTTATCACACAGTCCGGAACAGCTGGTGCTCTCATTTATGCTTCAGTGTTGCTTGCCTCGAAGTGAGCATAAAAGGCATTTAGCTCGTCTGGTAGGCTCGCGTCACTGCGCAGCTCGCGACAAGCGTCAGAGCCGGTGTAGTAGGATTCAATCTTAATCCTGTATTGACGCTTTGCCTGTTTGATGGTTCGTCTGTGGGCATAGTAGGATTTCTTATAAGCGTCTGGATTAGTGTCCCGTTCCTTGAAAGCGGCAGTTCTAGCCTTTAGCTCGATGTGAATGTTGCCTGTAATCCATGGTTTATGGTTGGGATATGTACGTACGGTCACTGTGGGGACGATGTCGTCAATGCACTTATTGATGAAGCCGATTACTGAGGTGGGGGGCATGTATGAAAAATAAAAAAATTATGTATGCACTCACTAACTGTAAGTCGCTCTGGATAAGAGCGTCTGCTAAATGACTAAAATGTAAATGTAAAATGTATACTTCTCAATGCATTGGATGAATCCCGGAACATATTCCAGTCTGTGCTAGCAAAACAGTCCTGTAGCGTAGCATCCCCGTCATTTGACCACTTCCGTTTTGAGCGAATCACTGGTACTTCCTGCTTTAGTTTTTGCTTGTAAGCAGGAATCAGGAGGATAGAATTATGGTCAGAATTGCCAA